CAGCTCCAGACTGTAAAGCACCTGAAGCCAAAAAGTTCACTTCTTCCTGGAAAAGACATATGTGAGGACACACCTGCAAAGAGATGGTGTGGGGATGTGTGACTGACCCCTGCAATGGGAGAAGGCCCAGAGAAGATGGGCAAGAATGATGAGATCAGGAAGAATGTAAGGAATAATGACGAATTGTCATAAGGAAAGCTGAAATTACCTCAACACAAGGGGGACTGGATGGTAACCTTTGTTTTAGGTATACGGCTGTATCATTCAGTTATCAGATTGCATAAACAGCCTTCCCTGAAATAATTAGTCGAGAGTAATGTTTTCCTGAGGTAGCCAGACCAGCATGGGAGGGGAACCTGTATGTGACTTAGCCGAATATAAAGTATAAAAACTGAACAACTCACAAAATTAGCTTGGAAGAAAGCAACTGGTTTGAGCTGGGTTTAACCCACATATTCCTTCCCGGCAACTGTGTACACAGTTCCATGACAGCGAGCATTTAGAGACCAGTAATAGGAATTTATACAGTACGTTTGTATTGTGATCCCACTGTACATTGCAATTGCTATACTGTGCTTGTGTTGCGATTTCAGTACATTGCTGTATCATTCTGCTAATCAAAGTCCTGGCTTACATCTATGAGAACCTGGTTGGAGAGTATTGGACTCTGGCTGGGGGGCTGGTAAATGAGCCCAAGACGAAAGAAGAAACCATGACTGAAGGCAAGACCTCCTCCTTTTTCTGGATTATCTGTCCCAGGTCACAGAACTCAAGATCTCCCAACAGGAAATCATGTCTTTCACAGACTCAAATACTGAAGAGCTGGTTCATCTATAGATGACTAGTATAGCCACAGACCCTGAACCTTTAATAGTCACATCCAGTGAAACCTGAAAGGAAATGAGAAGCCTGCCTAATTTGCTCAAGTTCTCCCTGAGTTTATTAAAAAAAATAAATAAATGACTAGCCTCCTGGTATTCTCCATGCTCCTCCCTAACCAAAACACCTTTTAATAGACCACTAGAACGAATTAGGATGCAGAGGACAATCACTTTTTCAGAGGTTCCGGCAATGTGTGAGGCCAGGCCTTACAATCAATTTTCCCTATACAATGGGAGGCGGTAGCTACAGGAGGATCACTAGATCATTTTGCACGACAGGCAATACAAGGCTTGATACTCAATGCTAAATGAAGTAACAGTGACAGGACTGTGGAGAGATTTAATTATTGCGATGATATAATTATGACAATGTAATGTACCTGTTCTCAAGAGAGGTTCTTGAAAATGTCCTTCTGAGTAACTGATTTAAATGTTTTCTTTGACTTAAGAATATTTAAGATTACTTCCCTTTGGGAACTGTTTCAAGTTAAACATAGCAGATTAAACAACAACTTTGCAACACATTTTTTCTGCACACTTTGAAACTCCTTCAGTCTGTATAACACTGTAAGGCCTTCTGCCCAATTTGCACAATAAAATGCTGCAGTTCCACCAAAAGATCTCTATAAGAAGATAAAATTTCCATTGAAAGCATTGAACAGGCACAAAGAGAAATCTGTAATAGCAATTACTGCCATCATCATATTTTTGAATCATGTATCCTGCTTCGCTCTTTCTCATTTTTTAGTGTGTTAGTATCATGGCTAAAGTATGGCAAATAACCTGCTGTGCTTAAAACACCAGGAGTTACAGACCTCAACGTGCAGTCATGACAGACTGTAAGCATCAACGTGCTTTGGCAGATTGTGTTTTTGTTGTTGAAATTAGACAATAGCTCAAAACACTCCTTTCCATCCCGCCAAAGACACTTGATGAAGGTGTAAGCTGATAGGAAACAGGTAAGCCTATAGACTAAAACCTAAAACAGATCTCAGAAAAGAAACAAAGCAAAAGGGCAACTAGGAATAACTGCCTGGTTCCAGAGAAGCATGTGATAGGAGAAGTCTTTTGAAATGGACTTAGAAACTGTGGTGGTTTTAGTTTTACCCAAGCAACTACTTTGCTTTCCTTCTTCCTACATTTAAACTGGGATTTGCTTTGCACTTTCTTCAGCTGCAAGAGAACTCCTTCAAAATTCACAGAGGACACCTGTACCCTAAATGCTATATAGAGCTGAAGGAAAATGAAATCTCAGCAAGACAGAAGATTTCTTGGAAATCTCAGCTTCACTAATTTGCTGCCATAGTCGTTAAGACCACACTAGTAACAACATAGACAAGACAACAACTGGAAGCAGAGGAGAAAAAAGGGCAGTGACGAAGGACTCCCTCAGTGTGGCAAGCATTAATCCAAGTATTTAGCTGTTCATTTTTTCCTCATAAAAAAACTCTGGGTTTGAACTGTCCCAGTTAGACAAGGAAATCTAATACTTCACAGAGGTGTAAGGAGAAAAAAAGTAAACACTACACACAAGCCAGATATCCTACCACAGCAAAAGGGAAATTGGGGCAACAGGGGGAAGTAAGCCAACACTTTTCTTTTTAGAAGTGTCTCTAATTTCTGCCTGTTGAAGCATCAGCCCATTTCAAAACAAATAGCTCTGTCCAGATTTTAAGGACAGAGGATTTTGTTGCCAATTTTGCTACTTTCTAACTTCCTTGAATTGTTTGCTTTATAAAATAGGCTTCAGTGAAGTGCAGTTACATGCATTTAAAGAAATGTCAGCTGCTTCATGGGCAATTGGACAACCACATGCCATTCTGCATTCCCACCTCTGCTTTTTAAATCCCAGTAATTTTTTTCAGAGATGTTTACAAAATTGCTGCTATGTGCAGGTACCAGTTGTGGCCAATACAAAGAGGAAGTGATGCAGCCCTTTTCTACAGCTGATTGTGTGAATGTAACAGATCCCACTTTAAAAAAAAGAGGAAATCGGTCTTCATCTGCCTCTCCACAACAAGCCAAACCTGCTGCTTTAGTGAGCCAAATTGCCCCACAGAAGGGTGCAACCAGCACCAGAAGCAGTGCAAATAAGAAGGGTGGTATTGGGAGTACACAGCCAAAGCGCGGGGGGAGGAGGGAATGGCAGGAGCACCTGTGGTATTGCAGCAACCCACCCTGCTTCAGGAAGTCACGCTTAAAATTCCCGGAGAGCAAGAAGAGAGGGTATTTTGCAGAGAAAACAGAAACAATCTGCTATCTGGCCACACATGCCAACAGCATAGCAACACTTGTTTAAACGTCTTGTCGCTTTTTGAATTTTAGCATTTTCAAGTTTATTTTAAGTATAAAGCATAACAGCAACAAGGCTTGGGAACACTGTGAGAAAAACTCAGCATCTACACCAGGGAACTACTTTAGAAAAAAGATACAAAGTGTCAAGCTAGCTTTGGCAAAGTCCTGGGAAAAGAGGAGAGAGAGCAATTAAAAATCTAACACACCATTTGCTTTTTATTTTTCATCAGGTATAATAAATGTACACAAAAGGATGCATCAGCATTTTTGTTCATCTTAAGTATGTGAAATGGTAGGGGAAGTAGATACATGGCATGAGTGAGGTCAGAAGTATCAAGACTGGTTCGAAACATTTCAAAATGCCATGCTAACAGGATATTGAGGGAAGCTTTTGAAGCCATCATGAATAGGGCTTGATTAATGTCAGAGCTAGAATCCACACTACACACAAGTTTGACATGGACTGAGAAAAGCAATTTTCCTCCTGTCTAATACATCCAGGAATTTCAGCTGTGAAGGCTACAGTAGGGTTAGCATGATACCATTTTCTTTCATTTTCAATGAGTTCATTGACTTAACAAATTATTAGACAGTAAGTGCAAACTGCTGCACTACTTTGTCATGCTAAATTCATTTTTAGGAAAAGTCTTAATAAGGCTGAAGGAGAGGCAGCAGCATTTGAGATATTAAAAACCAGTCTAGCACCAAGCAACTCTCAAAGTCTAATTCCATAACTGCCCTTTGGTGGATGCCTTTTGGGGAGCCGGGGCGGGGGGGGAGGGGTGAGAAAGAAAATCACAGTATAGTGCAATGAAAGTCACAGATGCCTGACACCCTGGCTACGTAAAAAAAATCTTCTTCATTTCCTGAAGCTACGCACCGTTGAGATGTGGGTTAAGACCAACAATTTCAAAGACGAGAACAACATTCTACCCATTACAGTGCTCATGGGAATGTCACACTTCCAACATATTGGGGACTATATATTGTCAGGGTACTTTTGAAAAGCAGTCACCCTAAACAGTACACTGCCTTCTTGATCCTGCCAACAGTCCAATAACATATATGTTCAGTGCAGCACTGCACTTCAGGAGTATTTTTAAGTGCCCTCAAAACAAAAGCCTCTTCTACAGCTCTCGTCAGCTATGCTAACGAATTCTCCTCATCTCCCTCACAACACACACGTGGTGAAAGGTTACTCCAAAAGAAGAGGTTCATTTACATACCTCACCAAAAGGGATCCAGGAATTAGACCTTTTGCAGTGCTTCGAAGGCATAGCAAACTGAGGTTGGAAGTTTTCCCAGGCTGAAACGTGTATCTTATCTTTCTGCAGCACTTGCAGGTGTTCTTAGCTGGCCTAATTCTGTTCCTTCTGAAATCAGTGAAAACTACTTGCTAAGGATCACCAAAGTCAACATTAAATGCCTTGACAAAGCTTTGCACTAAGTGTACAACAACCTCAACTTCACTCTCAGCCAGATTCAGTTCCCCATCCCCTGTAAGCATGACAGCTACTGTAAAAAAAAAAAAAACCAAAAACCAAACAGATTTTAAATGTATTTAACCTTGCATCCTTTCCTTCTGTAAAGCAATTCAGATTTTGTGAACCAAATGCATATTCTAATTCTGAGATGCTTGCATTTTCAATGTATTAAAAGTGTATCAAACTGAAATGACAATGAAGAAAAAATGTGATATCATTTGTACGACTGCTTATTTACTGTTTTAGAATTCTGGAGAGCCTTACACACAGAACTAGAGAGCATTTAGTTTTTAAACTAAATTTCTTGGCCTAGCAAAGTGAAAACTGATGTTCATGACTTCTAGGCAGGTACTTCTACAACTTCAAAATAGTCATTGGGCAGAATCACATATCCTTTTCCTGCCAATATGTCTTTTTCTTTCTGAAACTGAACAATTTCTCTCAGTTTTTCAATTTGTCTTTCCTGACGCCGGCATCGCTGTTGCGCTGTCTTGAGCTTCTTCCGCAGTTTTTCAACTTGTTCCTCCAGCTGCTGAATTCTTTTTCGCTGATGAACTGTATCCTCTACGGTATAGTTGTGATCACAAAAAACAGCAAGATTGCTAGGGGTCTGGAGAGGAGGCATCAATAATCCAATACTTGGATCTACAAATCTGGCATCTATTTGAGATAAATGAAAAGAAGGAGTAGATGGAGATGGCGGTAGTACTGGAGCTGCTGGTGGCGGTGGTGGTGGTGGCGGTGGTGGCGGTGGCGGTGGCGGAGGAGGCGGTAGCGGATCTTCTGGCTGTTCTGCAAATTCTTCAGGCTAGAAACAACAAGAAAAAAAAAAGTACATTTTCATACTTAACATTGTTTACAACACAACTCCCTTACTGCAGCCCCAGAGTAACATAAACAACCAGGACTGAAATTAATAAATTTCAAAGCCTACATTTTCGAAATTGACAAACAGTTCTGGGTCTGTTTTGTTTGGCTTCTCAACAGGAGATATTTTTAAGCAGCTTCATTTTCAGGCCTCTTTGAAACTCAAGTCCTTGATGTCTCAAATCAAAAACTGAAGAACGTAGCAATTATTCTCACTTGAAGACTTAGGCCAAATAAATGTCCACAATTCGCTAAGGAGCAAGAACACAGGCTGCATAAGCCGGAGTTCAGCTGACCTAGTAACTCATCACTGCCATCCCATTCCCCTTTGCCCTTCCTTCTTTCTGCTGCATCTTACCATTATATACTTTGAACCTACCAGCCCACTTAATCAAAAACACAGCAGAAGCAGACAATCTTCTGCTGAGGTAGAATAGGGGTCACCTACTGAGGGGGCTGATAAGCTGGCAGGGCAGAGAGGTAGACACAGCAAGGCCTGCCTCTCAGCAACTGGAAGGGACTGTGTCACTGGTTTTGGGCTGCACCGTAAGGGTTTGGTTTCAAGAGACATGATGAGCCAAAATAAACAGCTCTTCAACAGCAAAGCAGCCTTCCCAGCCCTGGTATTTACTCTTTGCTCAAACGTAGTAAGTTGCTACGGTGACAGAAAGCTATTCGCTCTCCCACCATCACTGCAGAAATCTTCTCTCCTTTATTAAAAGCCAAAGCAATGCAACATGAGGTATGACCTACACCTGCACTGGTGTGTGGAAGGAGTGAGAAACAGGACTGCATGGCTGGCAGATGGGATGGAGAAGGGAGAAGCACGATTCTCCCATTTGGCAGCGGCAGAATATCGATTGGCTCAGCTCCACACGAAACTGAAGTCCTTATCATACTGCTCTCGATGGGTTCACCTGTACGGTTCAGGACAACATGGATCCCTCACCACTTGAGTATAGGTCAGAGCAGAGAATCAGATTCTTTCTGCCCAAAAAAAGCCGTATAATTCAGAAATGCTTCTGTGCACATGATGATTAAAAAAGCACTGTTTAAACAAAAGAGCTTGTATATTGCCTGTCAAAAAGAAAGCCTAAGACATTCTCAGTGAAAGATGCACTGAATCAACTTTCTAACTACCCACCCGTTGCGAATATTATTGCTACACATAAAAGCGTAAGTGCAGGGACAATGTTAACTCTAAGAGCAGCTGACAATCCTCATCATCTAAACATCAAGCTCATTGGATCCGAAGGTCATGTCATTAACTTCCTTGACTTAACATGCAAACAAGCTAATGCTTGATACTGGGGGGTTTAGATATCCCTCTTGTACAAGCTACACTTGGCAGACAGTAACTGAGAATGCGGTTTTGTGATTGGTCTTGAATGGAAGTTTCATACGCACTCAAATATTACTGATCACTTTAAAATACAAAACCAGCCATCCACCACTCTTATTTCTCAATTATAAGAAATTGCTGCTAACAGTGTGCCTCTCTCATTCACACATGAATATTCTAAAGAGTTTGACCTCATCAGCTGTCACTTTCAAACTCTTCTATTAAAAAAACTACAAGGCAAAGATGTAATCAGCAAAGAGAAATTCACCCTTGTTGGAAGCACAAGCAAAAATCAGATCATTGCTGGACGGCTGAATTCACACAGAGATGTTTATTTGCAGCTTATCCAGCACATGCTACCTCTATAAATATGTTACTATTGTCACAACGTATCATGGAGAACAGATCGTTGGTATCACTGACACATCATAAGTGAATTCTAATTACTTCTTACAGCCAATAAACGGTTCTCCGAAGACATAAGTAAAGAAAAAGAAAGTATTTCAAATTACATAATGCAAAAGATAAAAAGCTGCATTTCAAAATCAGTGTGGATTCAATTCCAAAACAATCATTACTATTCTTTGCTACTATGTTATTTCCTGAAGATAGGTGGCAGTTGATTTAAAAGTGCCATGAGACAAACAGGAACAGCACTAAATCCTTCTCCATAATTAAAAGGCACTCTTTTGTGTTTTTGTAGATCCAGGCATGATAATGAAACGGGGAATGTGGCTCACTACTAATCCTGCTGCACCGGTTGCACTCTTGCACATCACCCTATACACCCATCAAGCTTTCAGACTGTAAAAAATTTTGCAACTATTTTACACGTGACAAAGAAAATGTGTGTCATACAGGTAGCAGGGAAGCGTAATCAAACAAAAAACTTAACACATCTGTATTTACCTGGACATTGTCTGTCTTTCCTTACATACTTTCTGCTTATATTCTCTGCTCTGTTATTAGCCACTTTTCATTTTTCAAATACATTCCCTTTTTATTTCTGCATCAAATCCAATATTGTATGTAAAGAGAAAAATCAAATAAGAGAAAAGTCCCAGTTTTCCTCTGTGCACTTCATCCCATTACAGTCTTTCACCCCCTAGACCTATCATATCCATTCTCTCCTTTGCCACCTACTCTATGGCAGAGTGGCAAGAGATCTAATATTTTATAACCTTTATAGGAGTTAAGAATCAATCTTTTCTATTCTTGTCTTGCCGTTATTACATGAAGAAGGAAGAACTCATAACTGACTTGCATCTCACAGTAAGCTGCTTTAGCAGCACAGTGAAGGGAACAATACATCTCACAGCAGGCGACCATCAGAAGTTCAGAGGCAGAAGTCAGGGACCAGTCTAGCTTATGAGCACAAGGTAACAGTTAAGGCAAGACAGAGATGGTTTCAACACAGACAGATAGCACGTGCAGCTGCTGTTCTGCCCCTCTGTTTGCATCTCACTTTAACTCTGCAGAGCCAGAGGCCAGAGCCCTGTAGAGGGGACAGTTAAGTTTCAGAACTAAGGTCCATCATCTCTTCAATGTTAGCAGTAGCCACCAGTCAGCATGGGACAGTACAGTGCAATTTGTGAGTATTACTGAAGGCTCTCTAAAACTCCAAATATGCCACAAATACAGCTGAACAGCTCAACTACAGGGCAATACTTTCTTACTTTGCTGCCATTCCATTTAATTCAGCACAAGGTTTTGACTGAAGTTACATTGCTCAGGCTTCTGCGTATGCACACAAGAGCAGATCAGAGCTACTGCACATCTGTACAGCGCTCTATGTGCTCCAGAGCCTCGGACAGCCTGCATCGCTGCTCTTGTCAAAGCACATGAGAACAGTTGTTGGACGCGTTTCAGCCTCCACGTGCCTCCAGGTGCACACGCTCAGCCACTATCCTTCACAATCTGCATCTTCTCCCCGCTGCTCTGCTACATCAAGCCCTGCTAGGCTAATATGAGCAACACACACACATTTCAGTACCTTAAACTACGAGTGCTTTGGGTTTACCTTTTCACTGGGTTCAGTATAACAAAATATTGTGGGCACAGCATTTTCTTTCAGAAGCTTGTTGTTGCATTCCCTTTTAAAGCAATCGGGAGTAAAGTGTTCTGAACAAATGCTGCTGTACTTGGTTGGCTTGAAGTTTTTCCTTTTAACAGCAGCTTCCCATTTCTTGCAAAGATCAGGTCTGGTGAGAGGAAACCTGTAAATAAGAAGTACTTTCAGCTTTTCTGGAAAGCTTTTTAACACCGAGTGAGGTTACCGCCGAGCACTGCTGTGCTCGGCTGCGTGATCGCTTGGTCTTCCCTCATCTTTGGAGACAAACCCCTCCTGCCGACCGCACCTCGCACACGGAGCGGGCCGAGGGCCTCCGCACGCCGAAAACC